CTGAAAAGTACCAGAAATTTAGGGGAAAGCAAAAGGATAGGATTTGGGATAGTGAACAGGTTGTCATAATATGAACCCAATTTGCTACAAATCTCATATCCCCTGACACATCCAAGACACCGAAGGTCCTGGTTTCAGGAGATGCCATCATAGGCGCAATATATTTAGTTATTACTTTTAGCTGTAAAGAGAACAATGACTCACAATCATCAAACATGTACTAAAATCTAGGCACAAGTCCAAATATTTCACACACTTATTTAATCCAAAAGCAACCCGCTGAGGTTAAGTATTAATAAAGTTATCAATCTCACTTAACATTGAGGTGAGTAAACTGATACTCACTTGCCCCAAGTTACACAGTTAAGAATGAACCAAACACCAGAAAGTAATTTCAGCTAGCATACAATGCATTCTACCATCATCATCTAACATTGTAGGGAAAGGTTGGTGCTTCAGGAAACATTGCATTATATAGATGAGCCCAACCTTCCCATGCTGACTTTTCAAGGGCTCAGTGCCTTTCCTTGTCTTTACACTATTTTACAACTTTGGAAGTTGTAGAAAGCTAACAGAAATGCAAAATAATTCTTATCTCTGGACAGGTACATAAATTCTGTCTAGTGGAAGTTCAACTGACTTCCCTTCCTCATTGTGGAAGAAGCTGATTTTGTCTCCACTTGCACTCTTCTTAATATTCCTGCGCTATAAATGTTTCTGATTTTTGAATTTTAAAATTTTTTGTCATTTATTTCATGATGATGGTGTTCAACTCAGAGCCTTGCACTTGTTAGACCCACACCCCAGCCCTTTTTGTTTTACTTATTTTGAGGATAGGGTCTTGCTTTTGGCAATCTTTCTATGTTTGCACACACCACATCCAGCTACTGGATGAGATGGACTCTCACAAACTTTTTGCCCTGGCTGGCCTTGAACTGCCATCCTCCTGATCTCTGCCTCCAGAGTAACTAGCATTACAGGCATGAGCCACTGCACCCAGATGAATTGGTTTTTGTACTAATTGTAACATCTTATCTGCTGCCCCATTGATAATGCATAAAATAAAATCCTTAACATGTGCTCACATGTGTATGAATCATAAATTTACCACTTAAAATCATAATTTAACAATATTTACTGGACTAGATTATGAGTTTCTAACCTGCTCCCTCACTGCTTTAGTTTTTTGTGTCTTTCCTTTTCATATACACCAAATGTAGTAAAGTCAGTCCTCTATACCCAAAAGTTCTACATTGAAAGATTCACCCAACCACAGATTTTTTTTAAAATCCATGCTTTTTAAAAAAAAATTGTTTCTGTACTAAACATATACCAAGTTTTCTCTTGTCTCCTAAACAATACAGTCTAACAACTATTTATATAATTTTATGTTATATTAGGTTTTATTAGTCTTCTAGAGATTATTTAAAACATCTGGGGCGATATGCATAGGTCGTACTACTCCATTTTATGTAAGCGACACAAGCATCCTTGGGGTCTCTTGGAACTAATCCCATGCAGATACAGATATTAGCTCAATGTAAACAATGAAAACAGATCTGCACTAGGCACTGGAATTTCCATGAAATCCCTTCCCAGCTCCTCAGGGATAATTACCATGAACAGTTTGATGCATATTCTTCCAGATACTCCTCTATGTTCTTTTTTTATAATTTTTAACCAACAATGCCATCTTCAATGGTGTTCTGCAATCTTCTTTTTACTGACATAGTGTCTGTATGTCAATCTGCTTCCTCAACAGCTCTACAGTAGCCCATTTTATGAGTGGTTTGTTTTTTTAAATTAATTCCTTACTAATGCATTTTTAGTTGTTTTATTTTTCTCTGTTACATGAACATCTTGGTACACACATCTGGATGCATGTTCTCTTTTTATAAATTAAGAACTTTTGTAAGCACTATTGATATTGTCAAGCATGTAAAGAGTCTATTTAGTTTGGCTATCCTGAGCAATTTTTCTCCACTTCTGTGTACATTGGTTTCCTGCTGTTCGGGAATCCCTGAGTGTCACTGATGGAAAGTAGTTCTCTAACAGGAGGACTAGCAAATGAGATATAAATGGGGTTAATATGATAAACAAAATTTTAATTTTATTAGAAAAATTTTTCAAAGCCTAGATAAAACCAGAAATTCTGTTTATCACTTTAAAATAGATACCATTAATTACAGCATACTACTAAGAAAGAAGTATGACTTGGGTTTAATATCATTACTACATTTCAATGATATGTGCTTTTACTGGTAGGAAAGAATATTTTTGTGTGTTAAGACAGCACTCCAAACAGTCTCTGACCCTGTAAGTTCACCACATGTTTTGTATGGAATTGGGGAATTTTTTTTGAAATAGGGTACACTATTTGGTCAAGGATGTGACAGAGCAATTATTACTGAGCCCTACTATGTAGTTACTAAGGCAAAGATCCTTGCTTTCAAGCAGTTTACTGCAGCTTGACTGTAAAGACAGATTAACTAAGGATTTACCTGTAACTGAGTAGTGTAATCACAGGATACAGTGAGACCATTTGGAACAAGCTCTAGTTTTGAAGAATATGGGAAAAATTTCTACAGGCAGAGAAGTTACAGGGCCCCCACCCCCCACCCCAGATCCCTCCACTTTCTCTTTGTGTCCTGACAGAAATACAGAGTAGCTTGACCGCTCTGTGACCTGGCCAGCTGCGTGGTTTTTTTCCCTACAGGCTTGAACCCAAGCTGGGCCCTTGAACATTCCCAGGCACTGATAAAGCTGTGTAGGTTGTTGCCTGAAACACTGGAAGATCAAAATATGTTGCTGAACACATTAAAACTAGCCCTGACCCTGAGCCAAATTTCTTAAATCCTCATATAGTCCCCATAATCCTTTCGTTGTGAGTATACCTGGTAGAACACCTCTTCTCACAGTCTGATGAAACACACTATATACAAGTTCTCCAAAAAAATGCTTTGAACTGATAACCCTGGTATTTAGTGTTTCCTTCTTTGGAATCCCAACTGACCACATATTGGGGTGGTTTGGAATAAATCCCTTTCAAGAACTCCATTGCCACCCCTTTTGGGACTCTAGTCAAAGGATTCAGATGGGTACAACTTGAGGAGCAGGGAGCGGAGAGGAACAGTCTTTTAGATGGGCAGGACAGAGTTTATCTCTCTCAGGTGCATGTGGAAAATACAGAGTTTGGCAGGGCTGGGTCATGAGTGGTATTTGACAAAACAAGAGGACATGGCATTAAACTGATGGCTAGAAACCAGATGATATGAAGTCTTAGTCACCATGCAAAAAGAATTTAACTTTATCCTGGAGGAAGAGATTATACAGGACAGTGACTAGATTAGAATGTAAAAAATGATAAATGTAAAAAGAGAAGTAATGAAGTGATACATTAGGATTTAGAAGTAGAATCAACAGAATGAGCTGGTTGACTGCCTTTGGAAAGCAGTGAAAATATGGGTAAGGGTATGACTTTCCTAAACCAAATTGATGGGCTATACTTCTAGGCTTTCCTACTTACTCTGTGACCTTGGGTAAATAACCTCAATTTCTAGAAGGTCAGACTCACTTCTCTGAGTTTGGCTTAGCGTTATCAAATTGTGCTTCACAGGTTTGTTGAAGGAATTAAATGACATAATAAATCAAAAGTGCTTAGCACAGTGTGTTTAGTGTTTATATCAGACAAGTATGTAAAGCAAGCATATTACTCAAAAGAATAAAAGAAAGCAAGCAATGTGTTTAGGTGGGCAGGCTGTAGTAGCAAGGTTCATTAGGCTTAAACCTCTGATCTGCCATTTACTAGTTATGTGACTTTAAGTCACTTAGCTTTTTTATGTCTCATATTTAGTATTTTAACATAATGAAGATAACAACTCTTTCACTGTATTGTAAGGGAGAAATGAGATAATTCAGGTGAAGTGCCAGAACATTTATTCACTTAAGTGTTAACTGAGCGCATGCGTCAGGCACTAGCTATAGTAGTAAATAAAACACACTGAAGTGAAACAAATCCTGCCCTCATGGACCTATTTCCACAAAACACAGAGTAACCTCTAGCACATAAGGTGTTGTGCGATAGCTGTTACGCTGTATCATGACAAGTTTTATGGTCCTACCCTAAATCATTTCCACATTGTTTGTTGTATGAAAATAATAATAATCCACAAATATTTGTATTGGTAATATGTTGGACACACATTCCAGGATAACTCAGATATCGAGAAGACATCAGAAATTGGGAAGGGGAAACCCAAATTGTTGAAAAGCTCTGATAAAACTCTTTTGCCCAATAAAGGCTTTGTGAGTGCTCCACTTGTCGGAAATCTAGGAAGCTATGTTTATAGCCTACTTGCTCAAACCAAGATAAAGCATTATTAGTTTACTTTATAGGTAAACAACAGAGAGTCTGAATATGTATTTTTTGCAACGAATGTTCCTAGAGTCTCGGGGATTTTGTTAACGGGATGGACGGAGGCACCTTGTTAGCAGGTGGAGGAGACAAGATTAAGACTGAAGCAGCCCACAACGCCAGGCCATGAACCTCCGTCGCTAGGCAACTGACTCCGCCCCCGCCTAGAAGTCTGAGAACCTGAAACACTGATGACCCGGATGGTGGCCACCTCCATTTGGCCAACCTGTTCAGGGTTTTGTGTTGTTTTGCTCACAGTTGGGAACAGGAAATGGCTATCAGTCAACAGGGATGCTAGATTCTCCCGCTGGCCTCTCTGTAGACCGTGTAAAACGAAGTTCACGTATCAGTAGAAGCCCCATTTTACGCTGCGAGGCAAAAGTGCCCGGCAACTCCCTTCCCCCAGGCTGAGCTAGAAGCACCGCCCCCCAGGAGGTGGGAGTCAGGCTGGTCACACCTCCCGGAAGTTCTCGCGAGGTTTGAGACGGCGCGAGCGAACGTAACTTCCGGTTGCGACGCATCAGTTCCTCCGCGATTGGCCCATTATCACGGGCTGTTGCGTGACGTACACCCGGGTCCTGTGGTCGCACGTGTGCCTAGGCCTCCAGAGTCACCTTGAGCCGGGCCTTGACTCTGCCGGCCTTGACTCTGCCGGGCTTTGACTCCGCCCGGCGTTCCAAGTTTTGTCGCCGCTCCTTTGTGGGGGTGAGCGCGGCGCGGCTGCAGCATGGTGAGCAAGCCTTGCTTTTCTCGTAGGCGGGGCGCTGTTTTGTAGCGACAGACCAGGTTCCGGTAATGCCAGTGGCTGGTGCCCCCTGGGGTGGCCGGCTTATGCCAGAAGCCGCTTGCGGCACACTGCCCCGAAATGGATCACCCTGGCACACTTTGCAGTGGTGGGGTGGCCCGAGAAGATGGCCTCTCTGTTATCTCCTAGGGGCTCTGCACACTTTTAGGTTAACTGAACACCTGTGACAACCCACCCAGTTGCTCCACTGAGTGCTTCCTGGGGTCGGGCAGAGGGAGTTGCTGGTCACTTCAGACACTGGAGCGGCGGGTGTCTGCCTGTTTGCTCTGGGGAAGGAGAACTTGGAAGAGTGAATTTGGGCCTTAAGCAAGACCATTTATGCAGTTGGCTTCTCAGCTTATAAAATCAAGGTTGAGTAGCGAATAGGAATGTAGGAAGGGATGAGAATCTTATTAAACACGAACTGGCTGTGGCCTGCTTTTATTTGCCAGTTGGCAGGTAGTGTCACCCTTTTTGGAACTGTCCACTCCAGATTTTATTGTGGCAGGACCCCTGTCCATCAGGTTCAACCTGTCGGGGACTTTCCCAGAGCATGCAGTCTAAAGGAACTGTTCAGGCATCTGCACCTGACAGTGTTTTTCTTAATCTAAAGTCATTGTCTTGTTTTCTTGCTCTAAGAAGGGACCTTGACTTTCCCACTGCTGTATTCCCAGCTCCTATAATAATGTCTGGAATAGAGTAGGTGCCCAACTAATGTTTGTTAAAAGAAGGTAAGTAAGAATTTTGTAAGAGCACAGCTGTTACTGCCTGCCCTAAAAGTGTAGATTTTAAAAATTTGTTCACCTTTCACAAGCTTCTTGAAGATGCATGGGAGGACTAGTGTATTCACTCTTTTTTGGTTCTGTTTTAATGACTTGTTCTGTCTCTCTTCCATTGAAGCCTCACAGGAAGAAAAAACCCTTTATAGAAAAGAAGAAAGCTGTGTCTTTTCACTTGGTCCACCGGAGCCAGCGAGATCCTTTAGCAGCAGATGAGACTGCGCCCCAGAGGGTTCTGTTGCCCACACAGAAAGTAGGTCCTGTTCTTTAGCTAGTAAGTTTGTAGGGGGAGGTTAGAGGGTTTTGCTTTGTTTTTGATTTGTGGTGCTGAAGATTGAACTCAGGGGCCTTGCACATGATTGACAAGTGTACCACTGTGCTACATCCCCAATCCCTATTAGTTTTTTTTTGTTGAGTTTTTGGGTGGGTGGGTGTGTGTGTGTGGGGGAGTGTTTTGTGTGTGTGTGGGGGAGTGTTTTGTGTGTGTGTGTGTGTGTGTGTGTGTGTGTGTGTGTGTGTGTGTGTCAGCTGTTACTCTTAGATAAGTGGTCCTTTGGGAAATGACCAGTTTTCAGTATGTGTGCTGATTATTTTTACATCATGTATTTATTTTAATTGGGAGGATAAAGCACATTTATTTGAGACATTTAAATGAACAAACCTGGTCTGGCAGAGTGGCTCAAGTGGTAGAGCATCTGCCTAGCAAACCTGAGGCCCTGAGTTCAAACCCCAGTACTGCCAAAAAACCAAAAATTAAATGAACAAAACTTACAGAGTGATGATGAATATTCACTAAACCATCAACTACAATGCTACATGATGTCATTTTAAGGCACAATCATATGCTTAATCTCCTTTCCCTAATCTGCTATCTTGCAGCAGTGTTTTCATAGATTGTATTTTGTCTGGTCACTCATTTCATGAACTACATGAGCTCATGGATTAGTTTTAGAAAATGCTGAGATCCTCAAGAAGGTTGATTTGATTGCTTATGTTAGAGCATACTTGTTAAGGGTGGACAATATAAAAAAAATGATGGGTTACATTGGCCATGTTTCAGCTTTTTTGTAAAGCCAGTTTGTTGTTGTTATTCCAAAGAGGATTTTTTTTTGCTTATAAATGCAAGAAATTATATTTATCTTTCAAAGTCCCCAAGTTTTTTCTCCTAACCCTCTAAATACATGATAAAGTATGTGTGCGTGTGTATTTCTTAGTTCAAATTGTTGCACAGAAATGCCTAGTAGGAGGAATTATTTTCATTTCTGTTCTGTGTTTTTTGAGGGAAGGTCTCATTGGGTCACCCAGGCTGGTCTTGAACTTGTGAGTTCTTTGGGATTTTTTGTTTATTTTTTCCAGTACTGGGGTTTGAACTCAGGATTTGCACACACCCTCAGCCTCTCAAACTTGTGAGCTCAAGTGATCCACCTAGCCTCCCCTGTAGCTATGACTATAGCATATGTTACCACACCTGACTTGTTTTCATTCCATTTTAATTTTATGTAGCACTCTGGCTTAGAAGTACTGTTTCCTTTGTCTCATTCAAGTGTTCTTTGTCTCATTCCTGTCAACCACTATTCATGTGCAGTCTGCCTCCTATTCTGAATATTGTGCCATTGTTAAGTTCCTAGGTCTTACCAATGGAAGGGATATTAATTCCATTGTTTTTTATTGAAGATAAATGATGAAGAAAGGCGAGCAGAACAAAGGAAGTATGGAGTGTTCTTTGATGATGACTATGACTACCTGCAGCATCTGAAGGAACCATTTGGACCCTCAGAACTTATTCCAGCCAGTACCCTTGGTGCACACAACAACAGAGAGGAGAAAGAAGAAACTTTAGTAATTCCAGTAAGCCTTTAAGTGTGAAAGAATGGGTGTAGAAACTTCTTGTTCATATTTAAATCAGGATAGTTGGGGCAAGAAATTATGTCAGTATGAAGAACACAGATGGACATGTCTCCACCTGAAATCGTATGTGTCTGCACATTTGCACCATCAGAAGAGAATAAACCATCTCTTGTCCTGTGACAGTTGTCAAAAGTAACATTCTTTTGGCAAGTTCAGAAATTTTGATTGATAGTCATGGTTGTGGGAGGCAACTCTTTTTAATAGAAAGCAGCTGATATATTCTATCTTAGTAAACTGCATTAAGATAGAACATAACTTTTGAGAAATGCTTGGGTTTTTAACACTTTTAAAAGCTGCAGGCTAACCTAGGAGAGAACAGCATATATAGATTGTAATGAAATGCCCATTCCTCTTCTCAACAAAAGTGGAGTTCATTCTAATACTTTTTCTCTTAAGTACAGATAAGAACCTATATTTATAAGGAACTATTGCCACTCTTGTTAAGTTCTGTTTTTCCCCATCTGTGTTAAGGATACCCATATTGTGTGCCACTATTGTCTTCTAATTTAGTATAAAGAAAATTTACTGGTGGGAATTGTTGTTTTTGCAATACTGTAGAAAGCTTTTATATGGCCTGACACTTAAAAAGACACATCCAGTGGGATTATAACAAAAGGGAAGAGATAAAAACAGCATGTTCCCCCTTCTCCTTTTTCAATACTGTCAGGGTCTGGGCATTCTTTTCCTCCCAGAATATATGCTCACAGCTCTTTGAGTTTATAGCTCATCACTAAAGGAAAGTAAGAAGAATTAGAATTCAGGATATCATCACAAAGAGGCAATAACTGTAGCTGTTCCATTCATAATCTCTTGTAAGGCCCCCACACCCTACCACCACACCTTTTATCATAATAGAGTCAACTTTTTTATTTCTTCTTCCCTGAGGCTATTATATCAGTAATGGGGTACTTACTGGCTCATTTCCTTTATCTCACTAAGGGACTTGAAGAGGCCAAATAATGGCTCAGCTGTTTTACCTTTCCTAGGGAGAAAAGTTTTAATAAAGTCTTAATATTCGTCTACTCACCAGTACAAGGCTAGCTTTCATTTGTTATTCATCATGGGTAAAAGTAACTTTTTAAAATTACTAAGTTTGTGGTAATTTATTACCACAGTCCTAGGAAACTATTACAATTACATTCTCTAATGTCTTGCCTGTATGCTGGTTAGATATTCTGATCACGTGTACTCTATCATCACCATGCTAAAGCCATCCCCTACAATACTTCACAATGCTTTCTCTAGTACGCTTGTCAATGTAACATGCTGATATCTTACAGGGTTTGGAAATTAATTGAAATAAGTTTCCTAGGACTGTGGTAATAAATTACCACAAATTAAGTGATTTATAGTCATTCTCACAGTTCTAGAGGTCAGAAGTGAGAAATCCAGTTATTGGCAGGATGGATTCCTTATTAGGTGCTCGAGAGACTTGCTTTTGACATACTCCTGGCTACCAAAGCTAGCCAGCAATTTGACTGTCATGTTCTTGGCTTGTGAGCACATCACTCCAATCTGCCTCCGGCTTCACAGTGCATCCTCCCCTGTGTCTGTCTTCTCATGCCTTTTGTAAAGGCACAGTAGTCAGTGGAATGGGACTCCTTAATTCAGTTGATCTCATCTTAACTAATTACATCTCTAAGGTTTTAGTGAGGTTTCTGTTACTAGTAATAATACCACAGTACTGAGTTAGTTACAAAGAAAAAAAGGTTTATTTTAGCTCGTGTCCAAGGGCAAGGAGCCATATCTGATAATGGCTTTGCTGGCAGAGACCTAGTCAAACAAGCTTTTATAGCCAAACCACTCTCAAGATAACCTGTTAATTGATTACTTACATGAATGAATTATTTTATTCATGAGGGCAGAGTTCTAATCACCACTTCAAGTTTCACCTCTTAATATCTTATGGGAAGTAAATTTAAACATGAGTTTCAGAAGGGGACAAGCCATTATTCCAAATACCTCAGTCGGAAGGACTGAATGGACGTAAGTTTTGAGGGGACAACTACTAAGTACAGTAGTTGAGTAAACCTAACAGTTGTGAAATTTCTTTTTCAAGAGCACTGGAATTAAATTGCCTTCATCAGTGTTTGCCTCAGAATTTGAGGAAGATGTTGGATTGTTAAATAAAGCAGCTCCTGTTTCAGGTATGTCCAAGTTCTTTAATCTTTAAGTAGCTATGTTTGTGTTTTGCAAAAAGAAACATGGTGTTGTAGAATTTTGCCATCCTTGATGAAGAGTTCAAACAATTGAGATGTGTTTGGAACTCAGATTATAAATCATGAGGAAGGGAGGAGAGTGGGCAATAGCCTTTCTTTAGAAATTGTATTTGGAGAGGAATGTGGGGATTTGTATCTAGTAGTAAGGGAATTTTAACGTTTACTAAAGATAAAAATAATTGATGTTCATTCATTACAGATAGTGTGATTCTGAACAGTAATCTGTGGGTTTCTTTTTTTTTTTTTTTTTTTTTTGGTACCAACATTATAATTTAGAACAAAAAGGAAAGTCCACAGAAGCAGTGTTTAGTATTTTCTAAGTTGCCTTAATTATTGGCTAACACTTGCCTTATGGCATTCATTTATTAATTTATTCTGCAGACTTTTGAGTTGCCATTGTGTGGCAGGGTCTTGGGTTAAACCAAAATAAAGCATAGTCCTTGACCTCAAGGAATTTACGTCAGTTGGAAAGGTAATAAATGGAAAATTACAGTTACGAGTGTGGATGGTAAATGCTGGTAAGCAAGGAGCACTGGACCTGGCCTCAGTGTTGAACAGGACTTCTAAGAGCTGTCTAAGTTGACAGAACCTCACATATGCTAGGCAAGAGCTCTACCACTGAGCTGAATCCCCAGTCCCCAGTTGACTTAAGAAGGGTGGAGAAGATAATTTGGCAGAAGACTATGTACAAAAGCAAGAGAACAGGAATATCAGAAACTGCATACATTCTTGAATGCCAGAAGGGTAAGGATTAGTAAGAAATGGGGGTGGAGAGTTAAGCAGTAGTCATGTAGTAGATGGTTTGGGGATCTATATTAGATTAAGTTTGGACTTGAAAGGGTTTCCTTAGGAGGGATAAAAGTAAACAAAAAATTTAAAAAAAAAAATAAATAAAATCTGGGCTGGGCACAGTTGCTCATGCCTGTATAATCTCCAACTACTGTAGAGGCATAGATAGGAGAATTGTGGTCGAAAGCCACTCCCAAGCAAAAACTTAGGCCCTATTTGAAAAATAACTACAGCAAAAAAGGGCTAGGATCTCAGCTCAAGTGGTAGAGTGCCTGTCTAGTGAGAGTGAGGCCCTGAGGTCAAACCACAGTACCACAAGGTTTATAGTCTGGAAAGACAAAGTGTAACAGTCTACAGATATTTAATTTGAGTTATTTATGGCAGTGACTTTAAAGCCCAGATTCTTCCTGGAAGGTGATAGCTTTGAGTTTTGCTAAATAGACAAATGTTTAATATGATAGATGTATAGTGGAAGAGTGTTTTTACCAGTGAATATTAAAAGGAGAGGAAATTTTTCCTTCCACATTGATGTCTGTTTCTAACTAGACTGAACTCCAACTCAGTCTAGTTTTTTTTTTTTGTTTTTCTGTTTTTGTTTTTTTTTTTTTTTGAGGAGGGGGTTGTTTATTTTTGAGTAGGTCTCATTATGTAGCCCGGGCTGGTCTTGAACTTAAGATCCTACCACCTCAGCCTCTCCAGTGCTGTGATTATAGCTGCATGCCCAGCTGAATTTAAAGGTCTTAATCATTCTTCTATCCTCACTGCATAATTGTAGAATGTAGCATATTATAGCTTCTAGCATGTCAAATTATGTAGAGTGAATGAATTGTTCTTGGAAGTTTTGCTCAGTGTTTCTTCTTTCTAGGACCTCGACTGGATTTTGATCCTGACATTGTTGCTGCTCTTGATGATGATTTTGACTTTGACAACCCAGATAATCTGCTCGAAGATGACTTTATCTTTCAGGCCAATAAGCCATCTGGAGAGGAAGAGAGGATGGATGTCCGACATGCGTGGTATATTTGAAAGCAGAGATGACCTGACTGTTGCTTCTTCACTGGGAGGGTAACCACCCTAAAATAGGAAGAGACTTTTGAGAGCATTTAATTCTATATTTTAGAGCAAAAAATATTTAAATTTAAGACATGTTATCCATAGGTGGGACTAAAGTCCAAGAATTCTGATTGCCACTTAACTAATTGTCCTACCCTGCCAGATTGGTTAAGCAGCATCTCTGTTCCTGCTTACCCATGAACTCTTCCTGAAATACCTTCCAATTTTATTTGTGTAGTTGTTTTGTTCTGTTGTTTAAGTTGTTTTGACAGGTACTTTATGACTCTTTGGCCTTAGGAAATCTGAGAGTGAAGATGGCAGTGAGTGGGAAGACACGGATGATGAAAAGGAGAGAGGCAGTGATGACGGTGACTGTGACTCTGCAGGCCTATTGTCAGATGAAGATGATATGTCTGCCCCTGGGGCACTTCATGGAGATTGTGAAAAGCATTTGTTCTGGAATGAGGAAACAAAAAGTCGATTCACCGAGTACTCTATGACTTCCTCAGTTATGAGGAGAAATGAACAGCTAACCTTACACGATGAGAGGTTTGAGAAGGTGAGAGCCTCTAAAAGACATTTTAATACTATCTCTTAGTATATGTCATTTTTGAAAAAGAGCAAGAGATTGGGACCAAAAGCTAAAACTTTCCAGATGAGAAACAGCCTGTCTATTTTTATTAAAATAGAGCATAAAGCCACCCTAGATTTAATTTTGGAAAGAATGTGTATAAGTCCAAAGAGGTAGCCAAACAAACATCCTGTCTCTCCTCTTTGAGTTGTAATGTTTTGGGGTTTTTCTTGCAGGGCAGGAGTGATGGGGGGGGCATACGAACCCAGGGCTTCATGTTTCCTTAAGCAGGCACACTAACCACTTGAGCCACGCCTCCAGCCTGAGTTCTCATGTTTTGATTTTGAATCTCTCTGACCACAATCTGCAAGATTTTTCTGTTTCCTAAGCATTGGCCTGAATACAAATAAATACCATCTCTTTCAGTTATTCATATGTAGAATTTTCAGACATAACTAACACTAAAGTAGAGTAGGAGATACTTTAAAAGCCTGAGTTGTGGCATAGTGAATTTGGTTTTCCATGACAGATTAGCTCCAGGAGTTACAATTTTATCCTACAGACTGTTTTTTCCTATAGACTCATTATCCCACCTGTTCTGTCCTGTAGCACTGTCACCTCTTGACATCACCACTGTGCTTATTTATTATGTATCTTGTGTGTAAGTTTGTCTCAGATAGAATATAAGTTCTCCAAGGGCAGAGACTGTTGTGTTTTGCTCACTGGTACTTCTCAAACCTGAAAGTGGTAGAAATTCACTTTGTTCGGTAAAGAAAAAGTGAACCCAGTACACAGGTTCTAACTTTTCACATTCCCACAAAGTGTTAGTTTTCCTCTTTTTCAAGAAAGCCACCAATAACCACTTTCATCAGGAGATACATCAACACCCACGTACTCTGACAAAGCTTAACAATGTTAATAGCATTTGAATAATCCCCTGAAAACCTCTAAACGAGAATAAAATTTATGTATTAACAGGCTATGCTCAGTGACCTGATCTTTTAGTCTACATAACCAAGGAACTTTGAAGTATCTTTAAAATGTTTTGAGGCAAAGATCTCTGCCTAGCATTTTATTCTACAAGCTGAATACAGTAACCACTGTTCATTTTCCTGTTAAATGGAAGTTTATTTTCAGTCTAGGTGTGACTCTGAAAGTACTGGCCTGAAATGTCTTCTGTGCTCTGTTGTTACTGTACTACCTCCCTGCTGAACTTTCAGTGATAATTGTGATCCTAGATATTATGTAGGAATAAAGTTAACATAAAAATAACATTTAATATTATAGTTAATGAGTACCTTTATTTTTCATGGTATCTTTGTTTATATTCAAGTTTTATGAACAATATGATGATGTTGAAATTGGAGCTCTAGATAACGCCGAGTTGGAAGGTTCCATTCAAGTAGACAGCAATCGCTTACAAGAAGTTTTGAGTGACTACTATAAAGAGAAGGCAGAGAAGTATGAAAACTTTTCTTTTCCCTTTTAGCTCCTTTTTTTTTCTATTTCCAAATAATACCTGTTGTTACATGCCTGACTTGTGGGAAAAGATCCACCTAGTTAGAATCCATTGTTATTAAAGAAACTGGCTCATCCTGCTCATGTGTTTTGTCTACATTTTGGTATTAAGAGTATTGAAGTTAATTATAAGTATGCGTTTTCATTTCATCTTTCTGAACTGCTAGGTCTTCTGAGAAGCAGATAGTTATGGCTAATAAATAAGAGTTTTTTCTCTTCAGTTATGTTAGCAGAATAGGCAAGCAAATTATTTGGCAAGTCACCATCTGAGTCCAGATGACTTTTCTGAGAGAAGCTGATGAGGTTTAAATCTGCTAGAAAGGTCAGGTGCCATGATGACTACTTTATGGAGATCCCACAGCAGGAAAGGAGCTACTTATTTTGACTGGATTATGTACACACTTTGGAGAGATGGATGGGCTGATGCTTTTCCAGGCTTTAAAAAAATCTCTTAGGGAAGCTGCCATCTTGTTTTAATATATAACCATAAACCTTGCAAAGATACAGATAGGTCTTACCATCTCTCAGCAGAGTGAATGCCTAAACTTGACTAGATGGACGAGGCAGGGCTGGGACAGAAAAATCTGACAAAAAGTAACAGGCACAAGACTGTAGATTTTAAAGATTGCTATTGTTCCCATAGCTGTTTTTGTGACATAGTATAACAATGGGTGTTTTTCTCCTCTCCATTTTCTTTTTTAAAATCTCAACCAAAAGTTGTATAAAGTTGAATACTCTTGAACCCTGTAAGGATCAAGACCTACCAATGAGTGAGCTAGATGAATCTGAGGAAGAAGAGGTTATTACTGTAGTTCTCAAAGAAGCCAAAGAGAAGTGGGATTGTGAATCCATTTGCAGTAAGTACTAGCATGTTCATTTCACTACTAAAAGTATGATAGTGATTTTAAAGTATTAAGTATATCAACTTTGAAAATACTTCAGCTGAAGTTTAGGGAATTTGTGAAAAAGATTTAGAAAGTAATACTCCTATTACTGAGTTACAAGCAATTTAAAAATGATTATAAGAGAGATTCTAGTGTTATTTTGCACTGTAAAAATACTGAAGTTTGGGAATGTAGTAGGAATTTACTGTTTTGTTGAGTTGAAAGTATACTTAATTGATACTTTTTTTTTAGGTACATACTCAAATTTATACAACCATCCACAACTTATCAAGTATCAGCCAAAGGTAAGTCATGGTATCCTGAGGTTTTTGAAGTATACAGTACAGGAAACGAAGTTACAAATTTTCTCAAAGTAATTTTATTCCTTTTTCGCTGGCATTGCTGTTAGGAAAAGCACTAACAGTAGGTCATTAGTGAACTATTTTTCGTAGGAATGGGAAATAACTCTAGTTCCATTTTATCTTTGTTTCAGCCCAAACAAATCCACATATCTTCTAAAACAGGAATACCTCTCAATGTCTTACCTAAAAAAGGACTCACAGCAAAGCAAGTTGAACGAATGCAGATGATTAATGGCAGTGATCTGCCCAAGGTATCAACCCAACCACGTTCTAAAAATGAAAGCAAAGAAGATAAAAGAGCAAGAAAGCAAGCTATAAAAGAGGAGCGCAAGGTAAAGTATATTTTCTAAATGTGAAATTTTCAAAGAGCTGGTGAAGGGGAATTTTCAGAAATTTAATTTTGTGAAAGTAATCTGTATCAGTTTAAAGATATAAATGACATGAGGATCCTCCTGTACAGGAAAGAAGAGTGGAGAAGAAAGCTAACAGATTAGCATTCAAGCTGGAGAAAAGAAGGCAGGAAAAGGAGCTGTTGAACTTGAAGAAGAATGTTGAGGGCCTAAAGCTGTAGACAGTGGAACATTCCCAGTTACGGACTCCTGGCTATGTTCAGAGATAAAACTGTTTGCCTAGCCCTTTTACAGGCAGATACTGAAGAGAAAAATACAATATTTGTATTATTTTTATATGGCAAGTTTCCCTGTCAACTTCTTGTAAATATTGTAACGTTTTAAATTTAATATTATAAGCTTAGATTTCCTCTGAAATAAATGACTTCATGCATGGGAAATGTTTGGATAAATTAAAGGAAAATATCTTCATAACTTGAGTGCAATTGGCATATTCATTTATTTGTGTGGTTGTCATAGTTGTTTTTTGCAGATGTTCTCAAATATTTCTTTGAAACCTCTCCACGCCTTTTCAGGAATTACATGCTTTAATTTGCTGTATGTAGAAAAGTGGCCTGGTTAAGCTCAGTTTTGAAATGCCGAGTTTATTCTTCTCAGTGGTGAGAAGAGTTTTCCTGAGAAGATTCCATTGGTAGGAAGCTAAGTTTTCCCTTGCTGTATACAAAAGGACAATTTCAAAAAGATGGTAAAACTAAATAATTAAAGTTGTTAGAATTCACAATTCCTGTTACATTACTGGATGACTTGCTTTGGGGATTTAGGAACAGTGAAGTCAGATACCAGAATAGTTAAACTTCTTTGGTTTTAATGAATCCTTAGCTTAAAAACAGAAATACTTTCTTCAGTAAATAAGAGTTTATTCGACATTATTTTAATGCTTGGAACCACTTAGACTTAAAATAGTTCAACACTTTCCCTGTTTTAACATCTATAACTTGTTTCAAGGGTTAGGCAATGACAACTACCCCAATTATTTGGTAAACTGACTTCTTGTAACTGACAAGTTAGTGGCCCTTGTTCATGTGTCCCTCGCTAATGTATCTGGATCAGATGTTAAAATCTGAGGACAGTGTTGATCTGAGTGAAGAACAGAATGACTAGAGCAGAATCGTCTTTGGCAAGTGAGAGCTGCATTTCATCTCTAAATTATTAGAAGTCTCTGCATCTGTGATTCAGTTGATTATGGCTTTTCCAGAGCTGCTAAGTACCAATTTAAATTGTAGAATTTTTTAGAGTTGTGAAAAACAATAACAGATATTTTACTAACATTGATTTTAAAATGCAAACCTGGCTGAAGAGCTTGTCATTACAGAAGTAGGATATTGGAGTGTGTATTTAATTAAATACCAGCCTGCAGAAGCAAAGGGATCAGTTGATGGTTTCTTTGAGTATTAGGGACATAAATTCTAAAAGAAGTGACCTTTTATTTTGGTGGCTATCTCCGCTGAAGGCTCTCAAAACCAGCAAAAATTTCTTTGTTTTGGTGCTATTCAAATTCATCTGAGGTTTAAATCAGCATGTAACGTATTTTACATTTAAGAGAATGTGACTAAAAGCCACAAGTTTTGATGAAGCATATTGTGATTTAGACTGATTATACTCCTCCACGCTTAAAGATCTTCATTTTATTCTGGATAATAAATTCATAATAATTTGAACAAGCTTGCTAATATTTTTTTATTCCCCTCGCTCCCAGCACATCAGTCTTAAACTCACCCTCCCACGCCCAGGCACTCAAGTTGGCTAATATTTTAGTCATCTATAAACAGTGGTTGGGAACTGAACATATAAGCTCCATGCTAAATGATGGATGTTCACAGAGATAAAAGGGATTTTGTCTTCAAGAGCAGCATGTCAGAGGGGGCAGGGTGAATGCAGCACAGATAACTGGCAATGCTGTCACTATGATAAGTACCACTTATAATGAGGACCTTGGTACACAATGTTCTCCTGAATCCTTTCACTGCAGTGAAGCCTTCCTCCAGGTTGGTGCTCAGTTGTCATCTTCAATATAAGCTTTTCCCTGAACATGTGTTTAAAAATAGCATACCCGCCTGCCCAGCATTCTTTATCCTCCCCTGCTTTAGGTTCTCTGTAACATTTACTGGCATATGAGACCATTTTCCATTCTTTCCCTACAGCAGATCTAGAAGGCAGAAATTTTTGTTTACTGCTTTGTTCCCCCATCTAAGCCAGTCCCTGGCATTTGGTATATAGTCGCTTAAGTAGTGAATGAATAAATGGATATATGGCAAAGACATTTGGAAAAAGAATTAATCTTAGAACAGCAGTACCTAGACTCACTGGGGTTAGCAAGGACAAAGGCCTAAGCAGTTCCAGGTAGGGGGGCAAAATCATGAATTTGCTTGCTAAATTTTAAACCTGCTTTGTTTACGTACCTTGGGACTGGTTTAAAACCACTTTGTTAGATATTTTGGTATCATTGTTACTTAACTGTCATTACCAATTGCATATGTTACCTGTGATGAACTGTATCTTGTATCTTTACAACCTTTGTTGTGATAGCATCACATCACCTTGGGTGAAAGAACTCTAATCATCTTGTGCTTTTACTGTTCACGTTTTCAGTGCTTTTATGTTGTTTCTTCATGCGCATTGACAGTGATTTACTTTATCAAGCATGTTAGTTAAAGGGCAGGAGAAGAAAAAAAAGAGAGTGTAAAAATTCTATGGTCTTATATTTTAGTTGCGAAACTTAAAGCAAACACAGGCCCACTATGTAAGTTAAGAAATAGAACATAGAAGCCATCTCTGGGTCCAGTCTCAATTTCATTCTACTTTTACCTCAGGAAATCTACAGTCATCAATAAACTATCCATGTTGTTACTTTTAACATTTCCTTTTTGAAAAATTCTTTAAACCATCTATGTGTGTCCCTTAGCAGAGGATCTTTATTTTTGAGCAACTGAGGAAGAAGTACAAATCTAACTCTTGAGAGCAGCATTTGCTTCCAATTAGTCCCTGGGTATGACTTCAGCTTATAGAGTTTACAAGAGCCCCGTGAACAAGCAAAGTGATGAAGGAGTCCTAGGAAACAAGTCCCCACAGGTGGAACATCATGGGTCTGAAAAGTCATGCTTAGAGGGTTGTATGCTTGGGGTATGTTTTCTGCTTCTGAGCTTACTATGACTTAATCTCCATCGCTCAAGGTTAATGCAGAGCCTTCCTGTCCGGTGAAATGAGCATCAGCTCATCTAGACATCAGGATGTAAAAGTGGTAGTAGACACTTCATTGGAACATGGTCAGATAAGTATAGAACAGAACAAGAGCCAGATTTCCTTGCATGTAACTAACCAAGGTTGCTACGAAGTCAGTGACAATCTTAGTCTTCTCAGCCATCAACATCGCTGTTGCAAATCACACACCTCCAACTTGGATTAGTTGCTTTCTTGTTCTGATAACCAGCTGTTCTGAGATGATGTTCTTTGCAATGTTAAATTGCCTTTTCCTGAATCTTTTACATTTTTGTGGGTCACATTCTCCACAAACTTCTATAAGGGGAGTTCATGGGATATAAACCTTTTGAGAACTTAGATGTAGACATGTATTCTACTCTCATATTCAACTCATAAACTGGGAATAGAATTACAGGTTGTAGATTATTTTACCTTGAAAGTTTGAAGGGTTTCCTCCATTTATTTCAGTTTCCCATTTTGTTCTTTGGGAGTCTGAAGCCGTTCTGATTCCTGAGAGTTTTTATGTAGCTGGTTCTTTTACTCTGGAATTCTGTGGAATCTCTGCCTTCAGTGTTCTGAAATTTCATAAATATGTTTGTTACACATCTATTTTCGTCTGGGCTCTCTAAACCAAGAAGCCCCTATCCTTCTGGAAATTGTTAAATTATTTTTATTTCCTTCCCTGCATTTTCTTTTTGTCTCTCAAAGTCCAGTAGGACCACCTAGACTGGTACTCTCATTTGCTTATGTTTCTATTCCTCTTTTTTTTTTTTTTTGCCATTTTACTCCACATTTCAGTCATCTTTGAACTTGCTACTTGTCTCCTACAAGGCTTTTTTTTTTTTTTTTTAAATTTCCAAGAACTTCGGTTTTCCTTTAAATTGCTTTTTTTGGTTGCTTGAACTTAAATGCTTAGAGACTTTCTTCAGATCTTTCATAACTCCTATCTGCTCATGATTAAGATTTGAGAAAAAAATATTAAGAATTCTGAAGAAGGTGAGTAGTAGCATTTGATAGACTGAGCTTTATTGTGGGATGGTGGTCTGGATGAGCTATTTGGTTACATTCCTAGAAAAATCATTTCATCAGATATATGTCCTCTGTCTTTGTGGATACCATATTTGCAAATCCACCTTCTTGCTAAAATTTTACTTGTAACATAATACTCATGACATCTTTACACTCTTTTTTGGGAGATGCACATAGTCATAAAAAATTGTCACCCAATATTCTCCCAACTGAGGTCAAACAAGGTAACCCTTATTTAAGCTCTCATATTGTAAATAAGCATTATTTTCAAAGATTATTTGCTGATTGTTTTTTTTGATGACTTCGTTGTTTAAAATGGCCGCCAATTGCAGTACTGAAGTGCCATCTAGTGTTCCTATGTACGAGGCTTTGAGGAATATTAAGATGTGTTAGATGAGTTGTTCAGGCACAAGGTCTACTTGGCATTAATTCAATGCTATTGAGTCAATAGTACATATTAGGTGTCTCTAAGTAGAACCACATAAAATAAGGTTTTGAACTGATCTCTCAATAGGATGCTATCACAGAGACTCTCAGGAACCTAACTCTATTTCCCCTAGGAGCAATCAATGGTTCAGTCTTTACTAATTATATGGAAAGTATCTACCACAAGTAATGAGTGGTAGAGCAAGTGTAAGGCCCTGAATTCAATCCCCAGTACCAAAAAAAAAAAAAAATTGCCATATGCGTGAATGTAGGCCTATAACTACCTATGTGCTCTTTTGTATATAGACTCATGTTTTCATCTGTGCCTTGTGTGGACGAATGCACAAGACTCCTTTTTATCCTTCCAGAAAGTAGACCTGCTAAAGAGGGGAATAGGGGATTGACAGAATGTATTGGGATGGAGAGGTTGTTCAACTTTCACCTTGGTTTTCCACATTTTCCCATTATCCTCCTTGTTCATCCTGCCCCAGTTACAGATGTACATGTTGCTCCAGGAGTTCCTATGATATTTAAGGATCTTTGGTGCAAATCTGGGTGGTTCATAGTTCTCCCCTAGTGTCAACTTAAGAAGTGGATTTTTGATGTGGCTTTTAGTCCTACAAGTCAGTTACCCTGTCCATCAGCTTGCCAGATTTCAAGGTTTCTGTTACCTTTTTTCCAACCTGTCCTGTGGTTCTGTTTCCATGCCCATTTGTCTCTTTAGTTTTATTAGGGCTGAGGAGAGAAAGCAAAATTAGATGGAGTATTTTATCTGCCATCCTAACTGAGTAGTCATAACTCCTTATGTCAAGACTCATATCTGAGATAAAATTGATAATTTGAGGTTGATGGGCAATAAATTTAGACTACTGGGCAGTCCCTTGTCATGGGCCATGAAAGATGTAGAAATTGATAAATATTGTAAGAAAACTAAGAATTATTTGATTCATTGACATTTGAAGAGAAAATGCCTTCCTTTTGCCTTCTCTACCATATCTTTCAGGTATTTCTGAAAGCATTCTTCCAGCTCAGAAAGAGAATGTCTAAAGCTGGGTGTGATGGGGCACACCAGTAATTGAGCACTTGGGAGGCAGAGGCAGGAGGGTCATGAGTTCAAGGCCAACCTAAGGATAGGGAGTTCAAGGCCCATCTAAGCTACATATGGAGACTGTCTTAAAAACCAAAGGGGGAAGGGAGAGGTAGCTCACTGGTAGAGTGTTTGCTTTGCATGTGAAAGGCCCTGATTTATCCCCAACACTGAAAAAATGTTTTAAAAAAAGACAAAAGTAAAACTTTTTTCAATTCATTTTCTCATCTTAAAAAATTTCAAGGATTATAAACCAATGTTTAAAAATAATACCCACCATAACAGTTGACAAAGTATAGTTCCAATAAAGGAGAAAAAGAAAAATAACTATTGATATTTGCTGTTGCAGAGCATTTTCTATTAAAAGGTTTTTTTTTTAACAGTCATTTATTCTGATTTTTTAAATTGTGATGTTTAATCTTTGTAAAAAAAATTTTTGAAAATTCAGGAAACTAATGAATGATAATCACATTCTTACCACTGAAATGCAATGTGTTTTCCCAGTCTTGTAAATATATGCAGTAACACTTTTCATGTTACTCTCCTACAAACTACTTCTAGTATTTATGTCCTGATTTATCAGTTCACAACTTTTTTCTATAAAGGGTCAAGTCTGATTTTTTTTTTTTTTTTTTTGCTTTCACAGGTTACGTGTTATCTGTTACAACTACATAACTCAGCTGTGCAGTGTGAAAACAATAATAGATACTATATAAACACACGAGCATGGCTGTGTATCCATAAAATGTTGTTTGCAAAAATAAACAAAAGATGAATCTATGCCATTTTACAAAATGCATAGCCATCACCAACAATGACGACACAGATGTATTCCATCATATAAAGATTGTCCTTGTCCACCTCTGTGTGGTCACAACCACTTTCCTCCTCCACCAACCATTCTTGCCCCTTGACAATCTAATGTTTTCTATCTATAATTTTGCCATTTTGAGAATGATATAAAAAGGAATCATACACTGTGTGACTTTATTTTTTTGGTGGGACTGGGGTTTGAACTCTGGGCTTAGTGCTTGCAAAACAAACTCTACTGCTTGAGCCACACCTCCAGTCCATTTAGCTCTGGTTATTTTGGAGATGGGGTTTTGAGAACTATTTGCCCTGTCTAGCCTTGAACTGCAATTCTCCCGATCTGATCTCAGCCTTCCAAGTAGCCAAGATAACAGGAGTGAACCACCAATGCCCAGCTGTGTGACTTTCTGAAATTAATTTTTTTTTCCACTTAGCTTTGAGGTCACTGATTATCACATGCATCAATAATGTTCCTTTTTATTGCTGAATAGTAGTCTGGGACAGGGATATACCACAGTTTATTTAAGGATTCACCTATTGAGGGCATTTTGGTGGTTTAAAACGCTCTTTTAAAACTGTAGCACTATCACATCTTTCATGTGATTCAACCTTCAGTAACAAATACTGTAGACCTGGATCGCCAGGTTTGATTCAGCTAGGCAGATGTTCTCTTCCTTGACAAGCTTCCAAACTGAACATGTTCAGAATGATGGTCCAGCTACACTCAAGTTTTGCATTGAATCTTATCTGTTATTTTAAGTTCCTACAGCTCATTAAAACTCACTGGTTTAAGCCAAGCTTACTGATTCTCTAGCAATTTCCAAATGCTTTGCAAGTTACAACTGACATTTATAGTTGTGTGATGACTGTGGAAACAGATTCAAGTTTGAGTCGCAGTGTTACAGAAGTCACCTAACCATGAGTTTCCATCTTCTCATCTGTTAAAATGGTACCGACCCTAACCTCACAGCTTTACTGTGCGGCACACAAGAGGTTCCAGATATTTAGGGGAAAAGGAGAAGCACCATATAAATGTGACTCATTTTATAATACTCATAAAAACAGATTATCTTTCACTAGTGTTTTAGAAAAAGCAGCAACCTTTTTTTTTATTTTATTCATATGTGCATACAATGTTTGGGTCATTTCTTCCCCCTGACCCCCCCGCCCTGCCCCGCTCCCCAGCAACCATTTTTAAATCAGGATGAGTACTTTTTATTAACAAGTAAGTATATGGAGGGTTGGGGTAACTTTTCTGGGAAAAAAACAAAAAACCTAGTTTTACAGAGCGCAGGCCAAAAGGACAAGAAGGAGAGGTACTTCTGTGTGCTGAGATGGATGACCTGTGTTGAAAGTACAATACCAATTAGCAGACGTGAGAAAAAATTATTTAAATCAACAACATCTGTAGCAGGCTACCATCTGCTTCCTGTTAACCAGACCTTCCTCTTTCAGATTGTCTTCCCCTGGTTTCCATGACCCTGTTCTCTCCTGCTTCTCCTGGCTTATCACCATCATTTTCTTGGCCCTTACATGTAAGTTTCCCTAAGGACCCTCTCTGTATGCTCTTTCCATGACTTCTTCCCTGGCAGTATACAGCTTTACTTCATTCCTCAAAGCTGCATCTGTGTCCCTGACCTCCCTCGTTTCCATCCTGCTGGCCGGACGACTCCATTTCAGCTCAGTATTTCCAAGGCTGAGATCATTTTTCTCCCTAAGATGGCCTTTCTTCTTTTCAGATTCCCTATTTCTATCCCAGGCTCACTGCCTTCTCAACTCTCTATGCCTGCAAATTTAGCATGATCCTTCAGAATCCTTCTCTGCCACCCCTCAGCCCCTACAAATCTAGTCATGTTAGAGATTCCCTGTCAGTTTCCTCTTTCCTTCCCATTTTAGGCCTCCATCAGTTTAACTTAACTCCCCTCTTCTCACCTCCTATCCTTCCTACCTTTTCATGTGCCTCTTCCACAGCTCTGTTTAGGTTTTTCCTCAGGGTCCCTGAGTGCTATAATTCCAATATAAATCTCCATGCTCAGACCTCTGACTGTTAATCTTTACATACTCAAATCCAGATGAGCTAAAAGAAAATATTGTAAGGTGAAGCTCTTAAAATTCCATAACATTTTTCTTTTTTCTGGAAACTTTTGTAACATTTTTTTCAGCATTACTGGGGTTTGAACTCAGGGCCTCACACTTGCTAGGCAGGTGCTCTACCACTTGAGCCATGCCTCCAGCCCTTTTTTGCTTTAGTCATTTTTCAGGTAGGGTTTGCATTTTTGCCTAGGATCAGCCTGGAGCCAACCTGAGGCCTCCTGAATAGCTGGGATTACAGCTGTGTACCACCACACTCAGCTTTTTCTAACTTATATCACTTAAGCCATACCTCCAGCCCTTCTTTCTAACTTCTTTTAAAGTAATTTATCTCCCAACTTTCTCTTTTTTCTGTGCTGGATTCATGTAGTTTTTCTCAATATTTCTGTAGAAGTGCATAATAACAGATACTTGGTATTTAATTATTTATTGAATAAATGATTAGGCCTCTGACAGACTCAATTCTTGTTTGGTCTATACCTTCAGTGATTTATTGATCAATTCTCAATGACTCAAGTACTTGGTAACACTGGGGAGAGGAACCCTGGGCTCAGTCTTCAGCCTCAGAGGAATCCCAAAGATGCTGCCATTGGATCTTTCTTAACAAAGATGTTAACTTTGTGCATAGGTCTAAAACATAGCCATCAGGCACTTAGGAATATTAAGCACTAAATCAAACAACTATACTCTGTTGCCTGAAACTTACTTGTTTGGTGAAGTCAGGGCTTGACAGTAAGAAAGAAATAATCAGGTGAACTTACAAAGGATCTTCCTAAGAGGAAGAAGCTGTTGGTGAGGAAGAAAGACGAGGATGTTAGGCTATTGAGGTCACCTCCAGTCAGTCATTTCTTCTCAGCCAGGCAATTCCATGAAACTAACATAATGTGCTCTTGAATCTCACGCAGATGGCAATCAGGAGTTATTTCCCTGTGAAGTCTATGGAGGACGCTTTGCAGCAGATGTTCTGGTAAACATAAAGACATTTTGTAGATGTGTTTCACTGGAGTTAAATGAACTGTCAAGTCAGTGAGGAGGTGGTGGTGCCAAGATTAAAGACAGATGTGGAGGGAAGCATGGGAAGAGGAGAAGCACATAACCTGTGACTGCCAGGCCCGGAGGACACTGAGGCAGATTGATGCCGCCACGTTCAAAAGTGACCCTGTTAACCAGGGTCCTCCTAAAAGCACACCAGATGGAAGGGTCTTGGCACAGTTGATTATCCCTTGAGAAGCTTTGGCTCTTCCGCCTTTTCTTTAAGCATCAAAAATTTAAATTTCAAGGCCAAAACACCAGGGAAATTAGCTAGTCAAAAGGAATGAGCATTGAATTTCAAGCATCTGGAAACTTGGCTTTTAGCCGCAAATTTGTCACTAATTCTGACAAGTCCTTTAACCTTCCTGTTTTCCGCTTTGCCACGTATACAGAATCCTCAGATTTAGGGGGCTTATACCATTTGAACAAAATAATACATGGATGTAGAGCCCATGCCAAGATCTAATTGTTATCCAGGTTCAAGCTAACTGCACATCACGTTCTTTGGCCAGTGGCTTTAAAGTTGAATAAAAGGTTTATTTATTTCTAACTTGGGGGAATCAAATAGATGGTAGACCCCAGTATTATAAAGAGATTAGCGAGAAAGATGACTTCAAAAAAAAATCTAGGATGTTAATGCAATCAATAGGTTCTAGAGGAAAAGACTTATTGAATTTACAGGATTTGGACTGCAATCCAAATTTGAGGGCTATAAAAGGTTGTAGGTTTTATTTTTCTAGGGAACCTAAAAAATGAACTATCTCTTCTCCTATGGGTGGAGCCTCCTGAAACCTATATAGGGGTAGCTCATGGGACCTGTTGTACCCTTGTAGTTTGCAAGGGTACTGCCATTGCTTTTGCCTGCCAGGAGCTGCAAGCCTCAGTGTCAAGTATGTTTTGGATATATTTGCAACGCATCCCTTAAACCTATTGCTAGGCTAACAGAGCACATTCCGTCAAGTGATCTGATATCTCTCTCCTTCAGTTTAACATGGGGTGCTTGTTCCTAGCCAGGTGTAGTGTTTTTTATAGAGCCTACATTATTTGGGTCTTGACAAAGCAACTTTGTAAATGGTAGCTATCATGTGTTTACATATCCAGCAAGAAAGAGGGCAAAGATGTTGGTGTAATTCCACACAGGCACAGAAACAGACTTTATGAGCATGGTTCACAGGCAAAGTCCAAGTCGGTTCCCTAGTTTTTGTGCCAGAATGTTGAGTACCTAAGGGACTGTAGGTTGCCAGTGGCTCACACCTGTAATCCTAGCCACTCAGAAGGCAGAGATGAGGAGGTTCAAAGCCAGCCCAGGCAAATAGTTCCATGAGATCCTGTCTCAAAAAACCCTTCACAAAAAAAGGGGCTGGTGGAGTGGCTCAAGGTGTAGGCCCTGAGCTCATGCCCCAGTACCACACACACACACACACACACACACACACACACACAAAGACTATAGGTTGGATTAAAGAGCATAGTGCCCAATTTTTAGAGTTAAATGTATAAAACCAAATTTGAAGTAAATCTGTTTAGCTGTTGCATTAGTCAACTTTGCATCACTATACCAGAATTCCTGAGATAATCACATTAAAAGAGAAAAGGTTTATTCTGTGCTACGGTTCTAGCAATTCCAGTCCATGGTCAGTTGGCCCTTTTGCTTTTGGCTTGTAGCAAGACAGTAATGTGCATCATAAAGCCAAAGCACCCACTTCACACTAGGATGCAAAAGAAAGAAAGGCAGAAGGGACCAGAGACACAATCCATGGGCATGCCCCCACAGACCTAACCTCCTACTCAGCCTCTTCTCTTTGTTTTGGTTGGGTTGTTTTGTTTTTTGGTGTTACTGGAGCATGAAGTCAGGGCCTTGTGCTTGTTAGGCAGGTACTCCACCACTTGGGCCACACCCTCAGCCCTTTTTGCATTAGTTATTTTTTGAATAGGGTCTCACTTTATGTTCAGGCAAGCCTGGGCCATGATCTTCCTATTTATGCATCCCACTTAGCTAGAATGACAGGCACATACCACAGCACCCAACTTTTTATTGGTTGAGATGGGGTCTTATAAACTTTTTTGCCCTGACTGGCCTCAAACTATAATCCTCACAATCTCTACCTCACAAATTGCTAGGATTATAGGCATAAACTTTTGTGCCTGGTGTTTTTTGTTTGTTTGTTTGTTTGTTTTTGAGACAGGGTCTTGCTAGCCCAAGCTGGTCTGGAACTCCCTAACCTCCTGCCTCAGTCCCCAGTGCTGGGATTACAGGTGAGTTCCACCATGCCCAGACCAGGCTTCATCTCTTAGAGTTCCCACAACTTCTGCGTAGCATCACCCAAGGAATCAAGCTTTTAACACATGGGCCTTAGGTAGAGAACGTTCATAATCTAAACTATAGATAGGCACTATAAGGGCCTTTTATTGTCTTTGTTCAAACTATCGAATTATGTGTGACATGTTTGAGGAGAGTCAAATGGACTTCTTGTGCTGTGGCCTGAGAGACAATGGACTATTTTGAAGGAGCAAACCAGTTATAGTAGTGGGGGTTGTCTTAAGTACATGCAGACATTAAAAACTATGTGACTATGTATTTCCAAAACTCCAAGCTCTACCTTTCCTTGTGTAGGAAAGACATGGACCAATATGTAGAAAACTCTTGTACAAAAAGCATAAACCTTTCAATTCCTTGAAGCAAAGATTACAAGGCTCTGACATTCCTACTGTGATGAAGGCTTCTCAGTGCAGGGTACAATTGACACCTTCTTTGTTATAGTAAGTTCATTTAAGTCCGTTTTGGGTTCTCTGGCTTCATTTTTGCTGATAAGGCATTGTAATGTCATTTAATATCATTGCCTTTACCAGATACTTTCTATATAATCTCGCTCACTTAGACTACTAAATCTATTTGAGACATTTTCCAGATGTGGCAAAAAGAATTTTGCTTATATTTTCATTCAAGTGAGTTTAAATCTAGCAATTAACTGAGGAAGAAAGGCACTTTTAATCTTGCGTTTTCTTTCCTTTAAATTTGTCAGTTTCATTTTTTCTGTTGTTTATTTTGTGTTTTTCCTCACAACCGAGACTTGCAATTTTATTTCTAAAGCTTCCAAATCTCTTTAGTTCTTTTGCAAAAATGTGTCCTTTCTCTTCAAATTACACAGTCCAATTTCCTGTAAATTCAAATCCCAGCTTTTAAAAAAAATGGTAATCAAGAGATACATAGTCTAGGGTAGTGTGTGATGGTTTTATTTCATACAGTCTCAATCTGTGAGGAAATCTAGCTGCAGGCAACAATCAGGGCTTCGTTAATGCATTTCAATCAGCCAAGCAGTACATTGAGAGAAGTCATGAGAGAAGGTCTGCCTCTTCCGCCTCCACCCCCTCTACTGGCAACCCAGGTGTGTGGGTTTTGGTTTGCTTTTGAGGCCATAGTTGAGTGTTGGCCAAGTTGTCATGGCTTCTACATACTCTACAGTTGACAATAACGATTACATAGAAGTAATTTTATCAATTATGTGAGAGTAAAAGCATTTATAGAGTATCATCTTTTTTTTTTTTCAATTCACATAAAGATTCTGTGTTTCTTCCTAACTGTGACATCAGCGCACCACTGAGCCTTCATGATGTCATTACCTAACTCCATGGACACCATTCCCACTATGGCTAGGGGGCAAGAAGCCATGCCGAGCATCTAAGCCATTCTAGCATCTAAGCATTCTAATTTAGGTTCACAAAGTTAAGTATCTATCTGTAGCTCTTTTTTTTTCTTAAAGGTGATATAACACAAAGTTCACCATTGCAACCATTTAAAGTTGTGCAGTATAGTGGCCCACAGTTTTTTTATTCCAAACTTTTTATTTTGGAAGTTTTCAAGTCTCTAGAAAAGGAGTAGTACAATGATTATCACATGGCTGCTGCTGAAATGTGACAGTTGTCAACATTGCTCCCTACCTGCTGTCCATCTCTGGCAGAACCTTTAAAAGTTAAGTTTCAGACATCATCAGCATTTAAATACTTCAGTATATCTCTTAAGTACATTTTCCTGTGTAGCTTCAACACTGTTATCACACTTAAAATATAGACTCCTAGTTACCCAATTATCTTAAGCTTGTCCCTTCCCTCCTTCCTATCCCCAGTCACAATCCAGGATCCAGTCAAGGTTTATTTGTTGTCTTTTCAATCTTTTAAAATCTCCCACTCTACCCCTACCAGGCTATTTATGTTTTAAAATGTCTCATTTTCTATGTCTACCTACTTGTTTATTATTAATGTTTAACTTGTTCTTCTAGCCCATCTTTCATAAATTGGAAGTCAGAGCTAGAGGTTTAATTAGATTAATTTTAAGCCCTAATCAAATATATGGTTTGAAAATATTTTCTCCTACCCTGTGTACTGTCTTTTGAATCTTTTGGTAGTGGCCTTCAATTAAAGCACAGCATTGTTAAAATTTTGATCTATTTTTTTGTTGTTGCTTATGCTTTTGGTGTCATATCTTAAAAATCATTGCCAAAGCTAACACCATGACACTTATCCCCTGTGTTTTCTTAGTCTATAGTTTTAGCTCTTGTTTAATTTTTGTGTGTGATGTAAGTTAAGGTTTCAACTTCACTCTTTTGCACACAGTCAGTTTTATCACCACCACTGGTTGAATGGTCTTAGCACTCTTATTAAAAACCCATTAAGAGTTAATCTGGGCTCTCTATTCTATTCCATTGGCCTATGTATCTGCCTTGATGGCAGTACCAGACTATTTTGATTACTGTAGCTTTATAGAAATAAAGCCAAGGTTCTTTTGGCAATTTGGGGTCCTTTGAGATTCCATAAAAATTTTATTTCTATTTCTGTGAAAATGCTGTTTTGGAGGATTTTAACAGGGCTTCCACTGAACCTATAGATCACTTTGAGTAGTATCATCATTTAAACAGCATTCTCTTCTAGTGCATGGTTGCTGAATGTCTTTACATTTATTCATGTTTTCTTTAATTTCTTTCATCAGTGTTTTATAGTTTTCAATGTACAAGCTTTTTTTTTTTGCCTTCTTGATTACATTTACTTCTTTGTATTTTATTCTTACTGTATACATACAAATAGAATGAAATGGTTGACTTTTTTCAGATGGCTCCTTGTTATATAAAAATGCAACTTTTTTGGTAGCTTGACTTTGTGTCCTACAACTTTGCTGAGTTCATTTATTAGCTCTAACAGTGTTTTGTGGATTTTTTTGTATACCCTTTACCGGTTTTTACATATAAAATTATGTTATCTGTAAACAGACAATTTTACTTTTGCCTTCCTATTTGTATACCTTTTACTTATTTCTATGCCTAAATCCTCTGGCTGGAACTTCCAATACTATGCTGCATAGAAGTGACAAAAGTAGGTGTCCTTGTCTTGTTTCCACTGAATATATTGTTAGCCAGGGAATATTCTTTACTGTTTAACACATAACTATGGTATTACAACATATGGAAGTGAACTATATGAATGCAATAGCACAAAGTTGTGTAAGGAAAATGGACACATATCACAAGTTCCTTACATTATGCATGAATAGGTATAGTATTATTTAAAGATAGACTATGGGCTGGTGGAATGGCTCAAGTGACAGAGCACCTGCCTAATAATTGACAGGCCAGAGTTTAAACCCCAGTGCTGCCAAAAAAAAAGAGGAGAGAAGGTGAAGGAGGAGAGGGGACAAAAGAAGGAAGGAAGGAACGGAGAGAGGGAGGGAGAGAAGAAGGAAAGAAAGGAGGGAGGAAGGAAGGAAGGAAGGAAGGAAAGAAATGAAGATAGTTTAGACTAGAGGTCACTAGAATAGCCACTTGAAAATATGATGTATAGCTAATAAGATAATACACCAAGTAGAGATAAAATGGGGAAAATCAATCCAAAAGAGGGCAGGGAAAAGAACTGAGAACAGACAGGATAAAGACAAATACATAGCCTGAAATCTAACCATATGAATAATTGCACATAAATACCCTACATATTCCAGATAAGACAGAGATTGTCAAGTTGAATAATAAAGCAAGAGCCAACTGTGTGTTTTTCACAAGAAACACACTTTAAAGACACAAGTTAAAAGCATGGGAAAAGATGTACGCATAAATGATCATAAAGCTCAAGTAACTATGCTAATATAGGGCAAAGTAATTCAGGACAAGTATGGACAGAGATAAAGATTCGAATTTATTCATCAAAAAGACCTATCAGTTCTAATGTTTACCTAGTAACAGCTTCAAAGAATGTGAAACAAAAACTGACAAAACTGGAAGGAGAAGTAGACACCTTCATGATTGTATTTGGAGATTTTATCATTCCTGTTTTTGTAGCTGAAGAAGACGCAGCAGGAAAATCTGTAAAGATATAGAAAACTTGAGCAATAGAATCAACCAGTTCCATCTCATTGGGATCAATAGCTATAATATGACACAGAGCAACAGCAGAATACACGTTTTTGCCAAATTCACATGGAACATAGATCAAAGTTAAATCACGTAGAGTGGGTCTCAACAAACTTAAAACAATTGAAATCATACAGAATATGTGCTCTGGCCAAATAAAATTAAATTAGAAATTATTGAAAAAATATGTATCTGGAAAATTGCTAAGCATTTAGAAATAACAAATCATTTCTAAATAATCTACAGATCCAAGAAGAGATTACAAGATAAATTTTAAAATATTTTAACTGAATGATAATGAAAAGATCAAGTGAGGAGGATTCAGCTTACATAGTGCCTACAGGAAAGTTAACAACTTGAAATGTTTACATTTGGAAAAAAGAAAGGTTTAAGTCAATTACCTTAAACTTTCACTTTAAAAAAAATTAGAAAAAGAACAAATCAAACCTAAATTAAGTAAAGGGAAGAAAATAATAAATGTAATTCATCATAATACTAAAACATTTTTTAAAGCATATCATCTCAAAAGAGAAAAGTCTTTGGCAAAAACAAAAACCTCTCAGCAAAGTAAAAATAAAAGGGGAACTTCCTCCATAAAAGGCATTTTTGAAATATCTGCAGTTTATATCACACTTTGTGGTGAAAATCTGAACACTTTCCCAACCAAGATCAGGAAAAAAAGCAAGATATCCATTCTGACCACTTCTATTTAGCACGACTAGAGACAGTACCTAGTGTCAGAAGGCAAAAAAAAATTATAAATATATACACAAATATGTAATATATGGCATAAAGATTAGAAAGGAAGAATCATAAAGCTATCTTTATTCACAAACAACATACACCATGATCGGACTGGAGGTGTGGCTCAAGTGGTGGAGAGCTTGCCTAGCAAGTACAAGGCCCTAAGTTCAAAACCCAGTACCAGATAAATAAATAAATAAATAATCATGAATGAGTGAATGCAGGAAACCCTAGGGAAGCACATGAAAGCTACTAGCAATAAAATGATTTCAGAATATAAGGTATACACAGTGAATTGTACTTCTATATATGAGGCATAAATAATTCAAAGATTAAATTAAAATGCCATTTATAATAACATAAAAACATTAAATACTTAACAAAGGGATTTACTTAACAAAATGTGTAAAATGAAAAGTACAGAGCATTACTTCAAGGAATTAAAGAGGACCAAAATAACTGGAAAGATTTACTCTTTCCATGGTTTGGGAGACTCAATGTTGTGTTTGATATCAATTCTACCCAAATTGATCTATGGATTCAACTTAATTCCAATGGAAATACCTACAGGTTTTGTTTTGTTTTTTGCCAAGTAGGAGTTGACCAACTGATTTTAAGTGTATGTGAAAATGGAAAGGAACTGGAATAGCCACAATAGTTTGGAAAATGAAGCACAAAGTTGGAGGCCTTTCATTACCCCAATGGCAAGACTACTATACAGAAATCTTGACAGCTTGGTATTGCCATGTCAATTAAACAGAAAATATAATTACATATAGACCCCATAATCGATGCACAACTGTTTTTTTTAAGATGACAAGGTAATTAAATAGGGGAAAGGTAGTCTTATCAGCAAATGATGCTAGTACAGCTGTATATACATATAGGAAAAATGAATCTTGATTATTATACCATATATAAAACTTAATTCAAAATGGATCATTGACTTAAGGGCTTCAACTATAAAAATTCTACAAACAAAAATTGTTGAAAAATAGTTATCAGAAGCTGGGCACTGGTGACTCACACCTGTAATCCTAGCTACTCAGGAGGTAGGATCCTGCTCAGAGATTAGGAGGATTATGGTTTGAAGCCAGCCTATGTAAATAGTTTATGAGACCCTATCTCAAAAATACCCCAACACAAAGAAGAGCCAAGGGAGTGGCTCAAGTGATAGAGTGCCTGCCAAGCAAACATGAGCTCCGAGTTCAAACTCCAGTATCACACACACACACACAGCTTTCTCAGGC